AAACATGTATATTTCTAAGGGAATTGGAGCACCAGAGAAACGTAACGCAACTGCCAGGACAAATTACATGAGTGGAAAATGTGATATGGCTGCAAAAATGGCAAATGCTATTTTAGGCTGCGTTAAAGAAGTATCACTTCCAAATCACGTTATGTACTAGTTCCCCTTTAATCAGCACTGGTTAGGCCTCATCTGGGGTACAGTTCTGGGCAGCACAGTTTAAGAAAGATGCAGATAAGCTGGAAAGGGTTCAGAGGAAGGCAACAAGGATGATCCAGGGACTGGAAACAAAGCTCTAAGAGGAGACATTGAAAGAACTGGGCATGATTAGCCTTAAGAAGACTGACTGTGATAGCATTTTGCAGGTACTTGGAAGACTGTCACAAAGAGAAAGATCAGGATCTCTTCTCAGTAATTCCAGGATCAGGTCCAAGTTTAAGGAAGCCAAGTGCCAGCTGAACAAACAACAGGAGGAGCCTCATGACTGTTAGAGCACAGAACAAGGGAACCCATGACCTAGGGAGGTTGTGGGCTCTCCCACACTAGGGGCGTTCAGGATGGAACTGGACAGCCCTCTGAGAGGGATGGTTTAACTGGGGATCCTGCACTGAGCAGGGGCTTGGCCCCTTTGGCACTGTCTCCTTCCGACTCTACTATTCTATGATTATTGCTTTGCATTTATATAAATAATTTGGGCAAAGTACTCCTCTGTATAAACCAGCTTTCTTATGTCATTTTTTAAAGATTAAAACTAAATTTAATTCTCTCTCAGTGTTTCATTCTATGAAGTCAACTGTAGTGTTTTAACTTTTAGCTTTTGTTTATGATAGTGTTAATACTTTTTGTTAACTCTGAAGTATTAGTGAAAGTAAGCTGCTGTAGTATTACACTAATTGATTTTCATATCTAATATTTTGGGGAGCCTGGGTGAATAGTTACTTTAGCTTATTAATACCTCTTGTCAGCCAAATCCGTGCGAATTATAGCAAGTTAATCTACAGAAATGGGATTACTTTTAGAACGTGTTCTGCAAAATGGAGAATTAAATTCAGCTAGAGTCTCATATATTTATACTTAAACTATATAAACAAGAGTGCATGATTAAAATGCCCAAATTCCCTTAAACCTGTTTGTGTTTTACACAAAAATAAAAAATAAAATAAAATGGCTTTTTAGTTCTTGTGAAGGAAAGAAAGTAAGCCAAAGGAAAATCACAAGTTCATTTTGGGTGCAATTCTATGCATGCTGAGAATTGTAGGGCTTTTTGTTTCTTTCTTACTATGAATAACATTGCATCTTTAGACAATCTAATGAGTAAAGTGGGGTACAATGGGAAGGACAAGCTCTAAATATTCTTTTTTAAAAAGAAAAACTTTTTTATTGCTTGATCTTGTGGCTTGGCAGTAGAAGATAAGGCAAGGCTTTTGTGCTATTTTTCTGAAGCGCTCTGTGTAAATTTGACCTTCATATATAATTGGTTTGGGGGACTGATCAAATGCAATGAATTACAACTCATGTTACATGCTATAGACACCGAGGTGAAGATATAAGTAGCACAAGATCTGTGATTGCAGAGATTAAAAATAGTTCAGTTTTGTGAGCTATTGTTAAACTATTAGACAGAAAGCCTGGTCATCAATTATAAATTACCTTGAGATCTACTAGTAGATCCTAGTCTGCTTTCTCCCTGCCACTGCACTAAACCATGGTGTAGCATTGACTGGATTCACACAGCACATGAAACACCCTGGGAATTTTAACTATGCACTGTTAGCACTGACTGCGACTTGCAAGTCCCATGAGGATTACTGTGATTATGTGAAATACTTTCTGAACTCTAAAGCAGGCTTCCCTAACTTCATGCTGTCCAGAAGTTTTGGACTGCAGCTCTTGGAATTCCCAATCATTAGCCATGCTGGCTGGGGCTGATGGGAGTTGAAGTCCAAAATAGTTGGACTACATCCAGTTGGAGAACACTGCTCTAATTCAGTGTATAACAGTTCATTGCTACTAGATTTGTGTCTGTCAGACAATTCCCACGCTATAAAGAAGATGGCCTGAAGCCCCTTTTTTCTGGTTAAGAAGTGGAGCTCCAGTCTGTGCAATAAATATTGATCTTCCTTCCATGATTTTATAGACCGTCTTTGAGCACTGTAATCCCATTTTTTTTATTTTGTCAGATGAACACACTCTATAAATAATAAGTGATTCAGTCTACACAAGTCCTGTGAAGGCTCTTCTGAATTCTGCCATGGAGTCTTCAAGAGCTTTATGTGCAGGTCATGTGTAGTAGCTCATGTGCCTTCCATAACTCATCTGAAAAACTGTGTACGCAGATTCAGCAGGGCCCTTTCATCATGTTCAAAAGAGGATGATATTCTTTCCATTACCTTGTGGTTTTTCCCCTCTGTGGGCATTTCACAACCTTCTATTAACTGAATTTGTAGCTTGTGAATTTGTACCTCCAAGTTTGGGTAAATCTTCTCCCACAAAATATTTGAATCCTTGTTTTTCATCAGCTTGGTCATGATGTATTCCAAAGCCATTTTATGTATCCTCTGGGTATATATAAAAGATCTGGTACTCTCCACATGGTTTGTACAACAGGTCCTACCAGTCCCAACCAGAAGGACCAGGAATTATGGGAGCTGTGGGCTGAATTATGTGGAGAACTCCAAGTTGCTGACCCAGGAGTTCAGCACTTGTACAATAGATTTCCTCTAATATATTGCTGGTCCCACTTATTTTTCAGTATTAGGATGGTTTCAGTATTATAATGAATAGATTCAGCCTGTTTTGCTAAACATTATGCCACACACAAACTTTTCAACCTGTCTGACCTGCAAGGTTTCCCCAGCAGTGGGTCAGTTCACACAGTACCCCTCTTCAGCCTTGCTGTTCCCTTGATCTGCCCTCACTTTTTTTGCCTGCATTGGGCAACCCATCCGAACGGGTTCTGCATAACCCGTGCACAAAACGCCTGTTCAAAGGGATTGTTCCCACGTGGGGCAAGTGCGCTGCCTCCGCAGGGTGTTCGCCAACAAAACGCCGTTCAGCCTCACAAAGCAATCTGTATCCTATCTGTGCAGCTGGCAATGCTCCGTTCCAATTTTATTCTGTAGTATTGTAGAACCTTAGTGTCTATAAATTAGCAATCAGCCCAGTTGAGTCCTCAAATGACATGATCGCACGGTTGAGTGCCAAGACTTTTTCTTGTGCGATGTCTCTTTAAAATGGGGTCATACAGAAATTAATGCCCTGTAGAACCCAAGTATTGTAGTAAATTCAGGGCAGAGAATATACCAAAATTTTACTTTGCGATTTTCCTGAGTGTGTAATAACAGATGCTATTAATTAACTGACACAAATTGGAAGGTTTTTATACTTTAAAATGGCTACATTTTGTACTAAGGGGGAATTTTTAAAACAAAAACCTTCAGTATAGAAACAATAAAACAATTACTTAGATCTAGTGTCAAAAAAATTAAAGCATTTCCTCCCTATATAATAGATTCAATGCTTTACAATTCCTTAATTAGTTAAGATCTGCTCATGCTAATAATATGCCTGAGAGACAACCTATGCATCTCAGGAAAGATATTCTACATTTATTCCACATTTTAAAAAAGCAGAAAGTAATTGGCTACCCTTTGCAGTTGCTTTGAAGATTCCTCACTAGCTTTCACTCTTCCTCCTCTAAAACTTGCTGAAGCTTGACTTAGACCTAAAAGGGTAGCTAGCCTCTTTGAACAGTACTCATAATTTGCAGAAAATAGCACAGTAAGTTCGCATTGGTGCCAAGTCAGACATCTTGCATGCAACAGTTGCAAGCCTGCATTTGGATGGGTTTGCAGAACTGTGTAAATGCAGGTACCAGAAAGCTGCGACTCTTCTTTCTGTCACAAACATTCTTTTTTTAATTGTAGTGGTGGCGAAGTGTTCTATCATGCACAACTCCATTTGTGCCTGATTGAAATCGTCCCCTCCCCATTCCCCCCGCAGCTTAGAACAGCTTCTGGGACCATCCTAAAAGGGAAAATGATGCAGGTAGAAAGGTTTAAACCTCTCCCACTGCTGATTCTTCTTCCTTGATCTTTAAAGCACTAACAAAAGCCTGCTAACTTTAGCAGAGAAATCCGGGGGAGATTCTGATCACAAATGTCCCCACATCTTATGTAGTTTGACTCCAAGATGCTTGAGTTCCATTGTTCAATCTTCTAGCTGCACAGTCAGTTGAAATTGCAAGTCACAGATGTAACAAATAGACCTACTTTCGCATTATTTCTGCTGTTCTCTTGGTGCCATTACTGAAGTAGTGTCTAGGTCTGTACCACTGCTGACTCTGAGTTCATACATAGAAAGCAATGTGGGGAGAAGGCTAGGACTTCTCTCTTTGATGTGCTGCCTATATACAGAGATTTGGTTTTTTGTTTTTTTTTTTTTGTTTTTTTGTTTTTTTAATGTGCTGGCAAAACTCCTCTTGTGGCTCTTCAGCACCAGTTTTCCATCTTGAGTTTGTCTTAGGCCTTAGTAGCATAGAATCTCAAGTGCCTGAAGGAAAGCATTTGCCGTCTTTTTTAAACTTTACATAGTAACTGCTTTATAAACTTAGTTTATGTGGAACTGTAATTTGAAGTGGTTACATTTGCACACTGCTGCAACACTGTCTAAATGCAGGTTTGCAGTTGTTGTGTGCAAGATATCTGACTTGGCGCCAGTACAAACTTACTAATGCTATTTCCTGCAAATTATGAACTACTGTACAAGTGAAATTAAAAGGGGCATGTTTATCCTCTCCACTCTAAGTTAGTTCTCAGCAAGTTCTACAAAGAGTGAAAGCTAGTACGGAATTTGGATAATTCACTTCATGGGATTTAGAAATGTAACATATGATATTATCATCGTTAATGTTGTCGTGCGTGTAGGTATCACTCATCCTAGCAATTCAACCCTTTTTTCAATTCAAGGTGGCTTTTTCTCTCTGTTTTTCACTTTTGTAGAAAATGTACCAGAGGAGCTGCGAGAACCATTTTATACAGATCAGTATGACCAGGAGCATATTAAACCTCCTGTTGTTAATTTGCTGCTCTCTGCTGAACTCTACTGTCGTGCCGGGAGTCTTATTCTGAAGAGTGATGCTGCCAAACCTCTCCTTGGGCATGATGCCGTTATCCAAGCCTTGGCACAGAAAGGCCTCTATGTGACTGACCAGGAGAAACTGGTAACGGAGAGAGACTTGCACAAGAAACCCATTCAGATGGTGAGTGTTGGCATTAGATTTAATTCTTGAAGTAGTGTATGTCACTCCTAGCAATATTAGTAGCATTTCTATTTGAAATAAGCTTTTCATAAATTAGCTAGTAAATCTGTTTCCTAACTAGAAGTCACACCTTGTTTTGCAAGAAACAGAGTGAGTCAGAAGGGGCCTTCAACCACCTCTCGTGGAAGCCCATTCCACACCCTCGGGGTCCTGACTGTCAGGAAGTGCTTCCTGGCATCCAAATTGAACCTTGGTTCTCTGGGCTTTGCTCCATTGGAACACGTCCTGCCCTCCTCTGCAGGGGAGAACGGGCCTCAACCCACCTCCATGTGACACCCCCTCATGTACCTATATGTCACCAGCAGATGCACTTGTAAAATCCTGAAAGAGGCGTAGAACAGAAGTAGATTGTCTTCTTTTCTTCCCTGCCTTTCCCATTCATGCATTCACAGCTTTTAGATTCAGGAATGTTGGTGATTCTAAACATGGTTGTTCTTGAGAGTGCCCTGTCCTTATGGCATTGGATTCAGTCTCAGACATACTTGGAGTATACCTGTTTTAATCAATGCAACTTGAGTTATCTGTGGCTAAAGTCCTCTTGAAATAAGTGAATCTATGACAAATACCAATAAGTCTGGAATTTACCCATGGTGTTACACTTGAATCGTTTCCTATGCCTAAATTTAGATATAGATTAACAATTGGAAGCATGAAAATAATTATTGTAAGAATGTAGCATCATGTACTTGGACTTGGGCCCAGAAATAGTTGACAGCAGGTATGCATCTATGAAAGAGCTAGCTTAGCATGAAGCCTGCAATCACAGGTGCATAGAGAAAAGTTTGAACATATGGAAAGATTTTGCAAGTTTTGTGTTCTGCAAATGGCTACCCAGCAAAATGGGCAAGTACTCCCATGTAGAGCCCAGATCCCAAGAACTCACAAAGCCCCTTGAGAGCGTGTTTGCTTCCTTCCTGCCTGCATTGAGCCACTGTTGCTACTTTCATCTGGTGTGAGACAAAGGGACAGTGACCAAACATCCTTCCTGCTGGCATGATGGGGAGCCTCTCAAAGAATCTGTAGCTGCTAAACATAATCATTCAGTTGATATGACAGTACTTTGCTACAGTGGGAGGGAGAGGTGGGATGTATAAACATGCTCCAGAGCTCTTTTCCAAAAGAAAGCTAGTCTGCAGTTACCAATCTTCTTTGCAATAGGCAGCTGCAGGAAAGAGCCTTGGGCAGACTCCAGGGTGTACTCTGTTTCTGTAGGATCAGAGCTAGCCCAGCAAGCCTGACACAAAACCTGGAATGAGCTCTGGGCCCCACACCGGAATTCTTTGCAGTGCACAGGAGTTCTGTGCCCAGTATGGCAGGGGATGCATGACAAATGAATGGTTTTTGGAACGGTTTTCCAAAGGTGGGAAGTTTAGAAAAACCACTGTCTTAGAGTCATAGAAAGAAATACTAAACGTGGGCTAAGGAGAACTTTCTGCAGTTAATAATGGAAGCCTAGAAAAATGTAAATATTATAATCTTATATTCATGTGAAATATTTTCTATGAATGCAACGAGTTTTAAAAATTAAACACAGAGGAGCATGGAGAGAACAATGGCTGGCCTTATTCATATCGCCATTTAAGTAAGGCCAGCCATTAAGACCATAAGATGCCAAATCACAACCATTGCTTACGGGGGTATTTTTCTGAAATGATAGATGCAGTGAGGGTGGCCTGGAAGAAGTGGGAGACAAACCTGGGAATATAATGCTGCCATCTCCAATCTAATGCCCAAAAGATGTTGGCTGGGGGAGATGGGGATTGTAGACGCTTGCATCCTGGAAGGCACTAGGCTGGGGAAGGCTAGTAAAAGGTGACGTATGATTAGACCCTCTTTATGCTTTTCCTGGCTGTCTGGGCCATTTGGCTCAAAGTAGGGGGCAAGTTTTCTTATCCTTTAAATGCCATCGTGTCCTGTTCCATTGGTACATTTATGGAAGAGGCCATCTTTCTGTGGTACAAAACCTGGTTTGCATAAAGAAATTCCTAGGTTCATTCCATGACCTCTCCAGGTAGGAAGAACTAATGTCTGAAGTACTGGAGAGCCACTGCCAGTCTGTGCTGGTCAGTGTGATCCACTGGATGGACCAATGGTCTGACTCAGTGCAGGGCAGCCACCTATGTCCCTGTGTGCCCTCATGTGAGCAGGATGTGGTGAAAACAAACGCTCCCCTAGGCTGTACACTTCTGGATTCATTCAAGTAGCTGCTGAATGATCTGTGCTCTAAGTTGAAGCATTTGCTTTCTAATCGCGTTTTCAGGGCCATCCTGTAGGCTGTTAATATTAGTGACAGTCATTCTGCAGAAGACAATGCTGGGCTGGGTGTCACCTGAAATGGCCCTCCCTTCGTATGAGCTGCAGGCTCCATGGACTGTCTCCACAGGGTGGAGGACAGTGGGGAGGGGCTGCAGGTTTGTGCTTTGGTGTTAGAGGCAAAACAAGGAGAGCTCAATACCTGTATTGTGGGGATTGCTGAGGCTTGCCTCTAGACTGACCCTTTCCCACAGGTGGGAACAGAAGAAATAGCAAGACCAGAATGCCAAGCAGACAGGAAGGGAATTCTGGAGCAGAGAAAACATGGCATAAGTATGACATCCACCTCTCTTGTCATCTGAATAGCGCCAGTGTTACTAAGGACCTTTGACTTCTGCTAATCATGATGTTTGGACAACTGCGACCAACACTTTGCACTTGGGAATTTTAGCCTGCTTGTTCAGATCCTTGAATTCCAGAGTCCTGTCAACAGAAGCAGGATGCAAGCTGTTCTCAGGCCTGTGTGTCCTCTGCTCCAGAAAGCGGACATTTCAGGTCCCATGCCCAGAATATATCATGCAAATGAACAGCGCTTAAATGCAAGTTGTCCTTTTGCATAAAATAATATGTAGTAATAACAATGGATTGGCAGAAAGCCAGTTTAAGGAAGGGAGTAAATGCCTTGGTGATGGCCAGTGGAGCCAGTGAATACTAGATGCTTAATGCATATTGGAGACCTGGTTTGGTTGAAAGATCAGCACTTCCTCCTAATATGGGAAACACTGTTGCTGATGTTCATTTAAAAGGTATAGTATAAATATTTTGAGTGGTGGATGTAACAGTGGAGCAGTGCAAGGTGGGAAGGAAAACGATATTAAAAGCTTACAGGCGACTATATATACCAACTAGGATGATGTCCTGCTTTTTTTAGTTGTACGCTGAATTTTTTCTAATCTGGATTTTGGTAAGCTGAGCACATACACTTGGCAGCTGCTCTCTGTATCTCAAGCAAGCTTTACGTGATGATGGTTAAGTGCTTTCCCAGCATCTTAAACAGCTTTCCTTTAGAAGAGAGCAACATGGAACTTGGTCCACAGTTTCCTAGCTTCCTATTAGTACTCCATATTTAAGTCATTCAGAACCTGGGGACTGAGAGTTATTTGTTTTCCTTTGCTTTGTTGTGTTTTATCTGCCCAGGTCCCCTAACATAAACTGCCTTGCTTTGTTAGCATCCCTAGATGGTACCTCTTGTACTTTGACAGGAAACACCATCCAGGGCATTGACAAGTCAAGGCTGTGCTTGGGGGCTAATGGAAGTTATTTACCTCAACTGTGAAAATGCAACAAAAAATCTAAATATTACAACACATTTGCACAAAACTCATGCATAAGAAACTTTTTCACAGAGTGGTGAACTATAATAACTGCTCCAATGTGTCACTGATTGTAAGTCAGAGATTGCCAAAAGTGATTTCTGTATGAAAAAAGCCACGGTGACCTCAAAAGGTTTGCAGTTGTGAGGGAGATGGATCCACTAGTGATGGTAGCTTCAAAGTGCCACTTGGACGCTTGGTGGAGTAACTGTCACTGGGAGTGGCCCAGATGAGCTTAGCAAGAGTATCGAGGGGCTTTTGCAGCTCTTGCAAGCAGCTCGCTCACTGCTTCCCTGTCCCCATGATGGGTTGTTTTAGTGGGTTCAGACGACACAACAACCCATCATGCATGCAACAACACCTAGAACTAGCCATGAGATGTCAGAATGGCTTATTGCCCACAAACAAGCCACCCGTGGCAACGAATCCATGTTCACACCACAGGACTGTGGCTAGTTACGTGCAGCGGTTTGTGCATCGCGACAACTGCCATCATTGACTTGCTGATACTATCAAATCAGTTTTGTTACTACCTATGGATCTTATCCTGGAAATATATTTATTTATTTGAAACTTTTGTATAACATCTCATCACTGACAGCTTGGGACTGTTACAAGGACACCAATAAAATAGGATAAAGAGATAAAAGTAGCACAGCCTCCAATAATACATATAAAACCACAAATTAAGACCATTAACAATTAAAATAGTGGAAAAATAAAAAGGTATAGAGAGATATAGATCTCTCCCCACTGTCCTCATTTCTTCTATTTGGGGTGGGTACAATGTCAGCTATGAGCCTCTAATCAGTTTTTCATAGGCCAGTTAGCACCCAGTCATTCCTCAAATTCTTGCAGAACTGCTAGATTAAGTGGATCTGATCCGACAAGGCAATTGCTTTCTTACACACAATTGCACCCAAGGTGAAAGTGAGTTACATCCTGTCTGTTAAGGGATCCTAAGAATGCACCTTGTCATATACCTTGTCGAGAGACATCAGCAGTCTATTAATATTCTAGAATGTGTGTGTTTGTTTAAAAAATGAATCGTGCAGGTCTGATAAGCCCCTCCCTCCCTCCCTCCCTCCCTTAATTTATGTGGATGCCAGCAGCAGACTAATAATCTGGTTTGCACATAACAATATGGAATATAGATAGTGCATCGGCCATGGGTGAATCACAGGTCGTCATTACATGCAAATCCTGGCCTATGTTTTAGCTGTGGGTTGTAAATTACAAAAAAGCTAGAGTTCATTCAAAGCAACAAACAATGGGTCTAGTCTTGGGTTGTTTGTGTCTGATGGCCCATAATTA